CTATACCTAAACAAGTTCTTTTTAAACTGCAACAATGATTGGTTTGTTTTCAGTTTTGGAGACATGTCACATTGACAAGTCTGGATGATGAAAAAAAAAAATGGCAAGAAAGATAATCCCTGTGGTCGAGAGCAGAATAGTCCTGTAAAAACATGAGTAACCAGGAGGATCAGTAACACATACAATGTCCTGTTCAGTATTTATAATATTCCTCTCTCAGGAACAAGACCATAATTATATAGTGCTGGCAGTGAATGCTGGCAGAGAGGATGACTAGGCCGTACTGTGGGGCTTTTCTTTGCCCACTCATCTTCAGGAGCAGAGCCCACAGTCCCCCGGAAAAGCCGTAAAACATGACCGCAGGTCTGGCGAGGTGCAGGGGCACCAGACAGAACAATCAAACAGAACAAGATTGTTCCTGGATTTAATATGATGTGAAGGTTGCTCAGAGGTGCTGAATGTCCCTGTTGTTTGTCCTCACAGATGGGCGTCTCTGTGGTGGACTCTGCAGTGGCAGGCCTCGGTGGTTGCCCCTACGCTCAGGGTTCATCTGGCAACGTTTCAACAGAGGATGTTCTTTACATGCTCCATGGCATGGGCATTGAAACTGTAAGTTTGTCTTTATAGTTCAGTTTGGCAGACCTGCTGTATATCATGTCTCAGTAATCCCACAGAAAACCAAACCCACACAATCCTTCAGACCATATTGACATAAACTGATTGCTCTGCAAATACGCTGCTCTGTAAACGTTTATTTTTCCAATATCAATGTCTTTACACAACTTATGCAAGAGCAAGAAGGCACTACGCTTGTGCTCCCTCGAACTCTTTAACAATCCCTACCCCTGCTGGTGGAATATTTCTATTGCAGTTTCATTTTTTTGTTGTTGTTGTGTCTTTCTTTGTGCTGGAATCTAACCTGAATTATTACTTTTTTTGTTTTGCCTTGAGTAGTGGAAATATGGAAATATATTCTATGCATGCTCTTTCTGCTTCACAGGGAGTGAACCTTGACAAAGTCATAGAAACTGGTGACTTTATATGCAACGCTTTAGGTCGCAGGACAAACTCCAAGGTGGCTCAGGCAAGAAGCAGGACACTTTGAGGATGCTATGCACATTTATACAACTCTTGCTTTTTGAGGGTGTATTCTGTTGTTTTTCTTTTCAGATCTGTTTTCTGCACCTTTGTATTTGAATTTATTGAACTTCTGACTGCTAGGACCTTAATAGTGTTCAGAACCAGTCCAAGTTGTCCAAGGTAGAAAGTTGATCTATGGGCTCACTCTACCATCTTCCACAGCATCACTGAGCATGCTTTTAAATGTGCTGTGCCTGGTCGTTTATTCATTCTGCATTAACTACAGCTAATGTTAACATTAACTAAAGATCCAGTTTCTACCCAACAGGTTAAAGTGTTTCTTTTCCCTGCTAAATTGCAGCTACAATCTAAACCACCCAAAGAACCCAATCATTTTGCCAAAAATGAAGGAGTCAGAGCTCCTTATTTTTTTTAATTTTTAATTTTTTTTATCCCTGATTGAAATGACTGTGATCATACTGAAGGTTAAAGTTAATTGCTATTTATTTTTGTGTCTGTCTTGCCAAGTTGCAATATATAATAAAAAGATGGTATCTAAAAAGACTCTGGATTTTAATTTGATATTATCTAAAATAGATCACAGCAGTGTATGTTTATTCTGTGCAGGGCCCTTTGAAAATGAGATAAGAGAAGATTCGAGAGGAGGAGCTCCAACAGTACAAAGTTATGTTTTCTGTGGTTCATGCGTGACGTTTACAACCATTAATCATGGAAGTTAGATCCATTTTAATTTTGGGCTTTCAATCATCCCTTTGAACTGTTTTGTCGTCAGAGTTGAAAGACGATACACACTGCAACAACAATTGAGCACAAAATCGCAAGTTCAACTTTTGGGAAGTATTTCTAAAGCTGCTGCATTTTTACAACGTATCTCCATGGTGCTTCAAGTCTTTTTGTACTCTAGATTATGTCATTCGAAACTTCTCCAAAATGAATAAATTGAATATTTTATCAAATGTCACCAATAGTTTATTCAGCTGTGCCTAAAAAATATATTATTGACCATTTTCAATTAATTTGGTTTTTGTCCAGAAGGAGTGAATGCTGCAAGTCAGTGACCTGATGCCATCTGCTAGATTTTCTTAGACTTTTTTAACTAAATTGAATGATGAACTGAATTTAATGCACTCTCTGTTCAATGAGTAGAATTAATTGGAATATATAGTATGTAAGATTTAATTGAAATGACTATTTTTGTGAAGTGCCTCAAGATGATATGTTGTGAATTGACTTGATACAAATAAACTGAAGTAAAATGAATGAGATGGCCAGATTACTGGAAAGTTTTTAAATGAAACTGTTAACTATCCAAAATGTTCAAGGATTATTTTCCATAATGAAACAACATGTGCTTTTACTAATAAAGACATTGGTAAAGTTTTAGAAGTTGATTTAATGTTTTATGTAAGAAGTTTGTTCAGAAGATACTCCACTTTTCACCTTTAGCTGAAAGATTCACAATTTTTCTTTTTACCTTGGAACTAAAATCTAATAAGCAAACAAAGTAATAATCCAGTCCTTTGATAGATAATGGTACCATGCACTTATTGAAAATAACATTGAATCATATCAAATTTCTTTCTTGGTCAGTAATTTTTTGAAATGACGTGTACATTTATTATAGGCTAAGGGGCTGTGAAACTTCCATTAACATCTCTAAATACTGCACCAGAGGACATAAAGTTGATCTTGGGGCTACAAGAACAACTTTTGTAAGTTCCTTCAGCTGCAGCACATTCACTTCATGTTTTTTTAACACCAGAAATAAAATCAATGTTCAAGAACTTACAAAGCAAAAACAGAATTTTGTAATGAAGAAGTAAATAATGAGAATGACATATTTTGTTTTACAGAACTTGGGAAATAAATCTAGAAATATTGAGCATGCATTTTCTTATATATAATTATTACATACTATTTGTGATGCTGCATTAAAAATCTTCTATTGCTGATGTTAAGTGGGGGGAAATTTTCAGGAAGGTGTAAATAGTTTTGCAAGGCACTGAATGACTCCAGTATGTGGTACTTTGAGTATGGAATTTATTTTACAACATTTTAACTTCTACCAGGCAGCTACCTTCAGATACACTTATCTATTTAAAACCAAAAGGAGTAGTGACAGATACACTTGCTAATAAAAAAAAAAAGTCCTCAGAAATCACTCAGTCATCTAGAACCAACTTCAGGTAATAGAAAATGTTATTTCTTCCAGTTTAATTAACTTTGTATGAACCCAACTGCTTATTCAATCTGGTAGTACCTCTTCTAAATGCCTAAAACCTTCAAACTCAATGCTCCATTAATCATCATAAAATGATAAATACACGAGGGAAGAAAAACCTTTTGAGAATCTGAACCACATAAAATATGAAACTAAAACATAGTCATGAAAGGGATGTTATATTATAAAATGACATGATTCACCTTCTTTTGATGTTTAAGTTTTATCTGATCTCTCCTTTTCAACCTGCAAGACAAAAATGATGAAAAACAATGTTTTGCTGTTGCAACATCAGATAAATATCAGTCCTTTCAAAGAAGCTGTATACATGATTGACATACCGCAGCTTACTGAGAAAAACCAGAGGGGATATTATGACAACTCCAGCAAGGAAGAGAGCTGAAAAAGCATACAAGACGTAGCCTAAAAAATAAAAAGACAACAAAGAACAATTTTTATCATATTAGTTTTATGCTTTTTGGTATTTAGTATCTATTACAGAATGAAATAAAAAAAAAAATATTGAATTTCAAAAGGCGCTTTACCGTATGACCACGTGTGACCCTGCTCAGATTTGTTGATTTCAGGTGGTTTGGAAGGGCCACTGCTGCTTTTCACCAATTTTACTGAAAAAAAAAAAAAACAAAACAAAAAAAAAACAGAAAAGTTATTCAAATTCTTAAAAAAATATTGAAAATAATTATTTGAAACACTTCTTAGAAGTAAAAAACACTACTTACTGAAGTGTAGTCTGTTGTGAAATACTTCAAGAATCATATTGCACATCCGTAGATGACTGCTGTGCACTCCTTTGCACGTGCAAGGATGGTGAAGCACTGTACCCAACGTGGCTAAGAAGGCTTTTCTACATTCAGAATTTGCACCAAGCATTAGAGCTGGATCCTTTAATGTAAAACATTCATTTTCTTGGAGATTTCTTTCACTGCATAGGATTTCTTCATGGTTCCAACATTTCTCTTGGAGTGTTTTCAAGAGGTGCCTAATGAATCAGGAAGAAAAACAACCACACCGGCAACATGTTTTGATAAGGGGTCCACATTCCTAACAAGAGCACTGTTCTAAGAAATAACTTAAGGATGAGAACAGAACTGAGTGTTCTGTGTGTATGGGACATTCCTGCCCTTCACTGCAATAGGCAGCATTTTTAGTAGAGTTGTAATTGTCAAAAAAAAAAAAAACTTTAGCTTTTTTTTTTTTTAAATCCAATAATTAATTTTGTATCACTAGCTTATTTTGTAGCTACATGGTCATAGGTGATGAGAGCTGACTCAAGTTATTGCCACACAAGACAGAAGGTATATTCATAGGTTGCTAGTCTGACACAGAGCCAAAAAAAGTCAAAGTAAAAGTAAAGCTTACAAATTCAACTAAATTGAATTATATGGTATTCCTAGGATAATTCATCCATCCATCCTTTTCAGGATAATTCATCCCCTATTAATAATACATATCTACTAACTTGTGTGCTGCTTAAGAAAAAGCATGCCAAAGCTCATTTAAAATTTGCTGCAAAAAATGAATAACTTCACGAAATACTGATAAATATAACTGAACAGTTTGTGACTCATTGCACAAGTCATGTTTGGAGGGGAATTGTCTCCCAGTGTATGTAACCGGTAAAAGGTTGAATGGAGAATTTCACTGAAATATTCTTCATAAAAATCCAAAGATAAAATGAAGCTTTTGGTTTTGCTTTTTCAAGGGTTACTTTGCCAACATCTGTAAAATTTTAATGTTTTGTTTTTAGAACATTACAACTCGAGCTGCTTCAAGCCATCTAGCCTGAACCTTTGATGTTATGTCACTGCCATCTACTTGTAGAAAGGAGAATGAACAGCAAAAATGCTACACAGACATTGCCACACTCAGAACAAAATTACTCTCTTATCTAGTATGGCACAAAATGGCTTTTAATCTTTGACTCCTTTTACAAATAGCCAGTTGTCAAATCAACCGCTTCACTTGATCTCATTGATTTTCTTCTTCCAATAATTGTGACTGCCACCTCCCTGCTTTTATGAAACGTTATATTTAAAAGGTTTCATCAGCTGTAATCATCTTGGCTCTCTGTAAGAAGATCAAAAGTCAGTTCTTATTGATTCCAACACTTTTCACAGTCAAAATCGTTTTTGTGTTAGATCCCAGGCAGTGGATCTAACACCAGTTTTCTTCCCCCTTCCCTTCCTACTCCTCCACGCATTTCAAAAGTCTTTTACAGAACTGTCAAACCTGAGTAAAAAAACACAGTCTTCTGACAATTTTACTGCTTTCAATGACCTTCATGTTAGAATCCACTTGAAAACCAGGGTTTTAATTAGTTTTTTTTTTTTTTCCCCCTCCATGGTTATCTTTAATAAGCAGCTGCTCTTCGTCTCAAATCTTAGCATACTTTATGTCTGCTGCTTGATTCATATTACCTTGCTGCCTGACATATTAGTTCCCCATAGCAGGATCCACAAAATACTGCATACAAATTCATTGTATCCCAACAAATATTTTGTGCTAATTTTTGGATCTTTTCCAGGGCATGAATCTTTAAAACTCGAGTTCCTTCCAGTTCAGGAAGTATTCCTTTTATCACAATGAATGCATTTACTTTTTTATTTTAGAACTGGAGAAGAACCTACCTGCAGTTGCTGTCTTGGACACACTGAGTGACCCTTTCTTGGCAGATCCTTGTCTCAACGCCACAAGCCCCGCTCTGCAGACCGGACTTCATGAGCAAACAGCTTTGATCCGAGTCGTCACACTCGCACATCACTAGCATCTCGGCAGACTGTTGAGGCATGCCTCCGTAGAACTGTTGAATTTCCCGCCGACACCTTTCACTGTCGCACTGATCAGCCATGCACGCTTGAAGAACAGGTGTGAGGTGCCTGTTGCACACAGACTCACTCACACAAAGACCAATGCGGTCCACACAGGATCCAGAGCCTTCACGCACTGCAAGAAGCACATCTGTAGCAGGGAAAGTGAGTGATGAACATATAAATATATTTTCATATATGGGGGCTTGTCGATATGAAATTTATGCTAAATGTTGTGGCAACCTGCTCCGGTTAGTCCACATAAAGTCTTCATAAAGGGACAGAGTGGATGACTTATGAAAACTCAATGAAAAAGAAGGGCAAAGAAAGAAACAAAAAAATATGGTTTAAGAATGAAATTCCTATTATTACAAATTAACATCAGTTTGGTTTGTCCTAGTTTAGGGGGCTACCCACAGAGTAGCACCATAACATGACAATTGGGGTGGGAAGATTATGCAGCAAATATGATACAACCTAAGATATTGTTTTGGCAAACTTTGTACAATTAAGATAAGGAGAAACAGACCAATTTAAAGAGAGATTCTAGAGACTCTAAGGATGAATCAATTGTTTCCAAGAGAAATGTGTAGCATTTACTTCTTTTTTCAATCCCTGTCTTAACACATAGATAAATAAAGGGATTGAATTGATTTTCTTTGTATGTGTGGACCAATGTATGAGGCCATTTTCTAAAAACAGAGGATAAATATTTTTGATTTGTCACAACCCAAAACAGACGTCTCTGAGTATTTAATTAATACCAGAAAGTTTGTCTAAAACTGTACCATTCTAATAATTTAGGTATTATTTATTTAGGTCATTACAGACATCTGGTGTGAAGTTCATATCAATATGCCAATTTGAAATGGACGTATTGTATATCCCATTGTGCATTTTCATAATAAATAAATCATTTTCACCATTGTCTGCTAAATTACTTGATTTCCAGTCAGTCGGTGTGATCTTCCCCTGCTGACTTCCTGTTCAAACAAGAAGACACAGAATTAGTTTTCAAACAACACATACTCATTAAACCGTGTGCTTTTCTGGACATATTCTACCATAGAGGAACCCGTGTTTATATATCTCATCACCTTTGGTAAACAAAACCATAATTTCAGAGATTAATGCTTAACCCAAGCAATGAATGAGAGAAACACAGCACCTGGCTTTTGGAGGCATTGTGTGACCAGTGCTTGTATGGAGTCACAGAGCTCCTCCTCCCATGTACACACACATCCTTGCAGGGGTGGAAATTGGCCCAGTGCAGCCTGGATGGTCAAGTTACAGTCCTCTGAACCCTTTCTTTGGCACCTGTCATCTTGAATATCACAAACAGAAGAGCAAGGCAGATAAACAGGGTTTTTCATAAGCTGGTGAAGTTTCTGTGAAACAGGTGTTTTCTACCTCACATGTCAGTTGCTTTACACCTCACGTCAGTTTTAGAGGATAAACATATTAATGAGCTTTATGTGGCTCTACTATTATTGAGACGTAACCTGAACCTGAATAACACAGAACAGATTACACAATGTCATTATTAATTAAATGAGATAAACTAAAAAAAAAACAAATAAGTAAAGGTTTGCTTATTATTAATATGTTCAAAACACAAGACATACAATAGAAACCATAGCTTTTGTGTAACCTTCAATTATTCAGATTACCAGTAGAGACATAATAATATCTTTTTTTAAGATTGTAATGATAAATGTCCACCTTGTCCACCATTATTATTTTAAAAGGAGATTACAAAAAAAAAATTATAACTACAATATTAATTAAAGATTTTTCAATTTCTATTAATATTTGTGGTGAGACTGTCACTAAATTTCAAATAATTAAACGACTAAAGAACACCTAGTGTGAAATTAGGTTGCATACTGAACTTCACAGCTGTGAATTAGTGAATTAATTTCAGGTTTCATAAACAAAGCTAATTTAGCTGGACACATAGTCCTTACATGCCACCTGGTTTCACAAATCTATGCGAAAGAGTAACATTTCTAAGAGTGAAAATCCAATTGTAAACATGTTATTTTATTCTCATTGATATTTTACCCTCACAGTTGCCAGCGACAAGTGCCCTCTCACAGCTGCATAAGTCTGACATGCAGGTCTCCACTGAATCCAAAATCCCAGAAGCTGGAGATGAGAAGCTGAAACTGGATATCTGCATAAAAATAATTCCTAAAATACACATTGAAATGACATTTTTTAAATAATGTTCCTTATCACAGGTGCATTAAAACTAATTAAGGGGCTTCTTGAAAAGCTCTTAACAAAATTTCACAGACAAAAGCATTAATTTTTGTTATTTGTTGAAGCAGCTTTTTTTGTAAAGTTTACTCACCAAGAACAAGTCCAACATCCAGATGCATCCACTGCATGTTGGCTGCTGTGACGACTGAGTCTGATCTGTCCCTGATCTGCTCCTCTCCGTGGAGTTCCAGCTGAAGAAGTGATTCACCACCCACAGAGTCAACATGATGTAACACATTTATTACAGCCTCTACTTGTGGTCCCAAAACAGACGCAAAGATGCAACGTTCTGAATCTATTTACATAATAAGAATTCTACAGTATTTAAAGATTTGGGGAATATAATTGAATGATTTATTCAATTAAGGGTTTTGTCTTCCCATTTGGGTTTTTGGGGAGCTTCTATATTCGTGTTATTTCTGTTACCCTTATTGATTTATCTTATCTTCCACCTGTTTCATGTGACTAAGCCATTAAAATTGCATTGTCTGGCAAAACTATTCATACTTCTTGAACTTTTTGTTTTCACATTTTGTCACATGACAACTAAAAAAATAAAAAATGAACAATGTAAGGCATCATTGTGATATAAAAGAAAATCACACATTAAATATATATGTTTTTAACATTAAACATCTGCAAAGTGTGAAGTGCATCAAGCAGATTGGAGATAGTGCAATTTTTAATTCTCAGTTTGATTTCATGTCTGAATTTTGGTTGTGTCCTGATGTAAGGTAAACCTCTTCTCCTATCTCAAATTTTTTTTGCAACGTTTTCTATTGCCCTGTATTTATCTTCATCATCCCACTGACACAGATTCCTTGTCTCTGCTGAAGAAAATAAAAATGTTGTGTATATCAAACATTACTTAAAAACATTTGACGCGTTGAAATTGACTTCTGTCTCTTTAAGAACCTCCTCCTGCCATAAAAAATTCAAGGATTCCTCAAATATGCATGAAGAATTAAAGCAACATTTCAGTTTTTGATGACAGAAAACATCCTAACGTGGCAAAAGTTAAAAAAAAAAAGTAAATTTCACATATTGCCTCTTAAAAGGATTTTTAAAGTTTTGCTTATTTCAATTAGTCAAGAAATACAGTGGAAATCGTGAGCCGTATACAAATGTGCCACAATAAATGAAAATAAAAAGTGAATATCAACCCTAAATTGATATATTGCACACTGAAAAAATAATTTATTGATCAATCACATACAGTTTAAGCACTTTGATTGCAGATGTCAACTGTAATGAAGAATGTTTAAAAAAACCCATAGAACAAATTAACAACCACAATATCCCTGTTTAGATTACAAACAATAACAAATAAAAACAAGACACAACATTTCAAACCAAGTAAGAAGGTACATCTGCATGGAAGAAGCAAAATTAGTAATACTTCAAATTAATACTTCAGTAACATCAAAACTCCATAGTTTTCAATCAGATGATCAAAATGTTAAATTAATTTTTTCAAACCTATAACTTTAACATTGCAAAAATAATCACAATAATAAATACAAAACAAACAAGAAACACCAATAGTGTCCACAATTACTTTCAACAAAGCAAACCTTGAATAGTTTAGCTGGTCAGAAACACAATCCAGCACAAGTCAATGAACAGACGTGAAGCAGGTCCTTCAAAGCTAATTTTCATCTTTGTTTTCTTTGATTACAACATGATTGTTGTAACCTGTTGACATTTCAACAGATGCAGTGATTGCAAAACTGAATAACTTTGATTAAGCAATAATTCATTTCATTATTTTGTGAATTTATCTAATATCCCTAAGAACAAAACGATGCATGACAATCAATCCTTCACTTGATTGTTTTTACACTAATTTTTGTAAAATGTTTCCCGACAGAAAACATTTTTTACCTTGGAACAATAAAAAAAACACAATAATAATAATAATTCTCTACACGATCTGGATCTATGTAAGTTTAAATAAACTGCCATGTCTTAGTAAGTTTAGGATAAAACTTAAAATGTTAGACATGGCCTTCTTACTTTGTCCCTGATTTTGATTAAGCTTTTGGTTTATGTTCTCTAACCACCTTCCAATTTTTTTTATACAAAGACATATTTGAAAAACATATAATTTTTGTTTTTTGGTTTGAAAGTATGCACACTTCAGGGGGTGTAAACACTTCTGCCCTGCAACCTGCCTGCTAATAGATTTTTCTTTCTATAGCAGCCTGACATACTGGAGGATACATTATCATGCTCACACAATAAGTTAATAAGACTATCTCAAAATACCCTGAAACATTCACACAAAATATTATTCCCATAAAGTAGGAAATTGCCATTTTACATAGTTTAAGATTCAAAAATTTGACTTCTGTGGTTTGCATGTTCTGGCTAAAAGGTGAACTTTAGTACTGCTGTTAACAAAGTAAGCCAAATCAAAGTTTACCACCGTCACTAATACTGTAATTTGGGAATTTTAATTATTTATTACCTTTATATTTTTCCATATTTTCATTCAATCTTATCTCACATCTGCAGTCTTTTACCAGCAAAACTCATTGAGGTTTTCTGAGCAGCAAGGGACTTGATCTTTTCAGCCACAACTCCTCTACTAGAGCAGAATAAATAATTAAATAGGTAAATAAATAAATACATTGATTGCTGAAACAAAATATATTTTTAAAGTCAACGCAGTTTAAATATGGAAAATAGTGGATCTGTAGCGGAAACCCCCCCCCCCAAAAAAAACAACACTGAACATTAATGTGTCATTTACAGTTCATAGAAATCCAGCCTTTAAAATTAAACAGATTTTATCACAGTCTCCAGAAAATAATTGTTTTTTGTAACAAGTCCTTAGAGAGTTTTTACATTCTTCAGTGTGATTCTTTGCCATCTCCATGTCCTTGAGATGGATATTTAAACCTCTCACGTGTATTTAATATCTACACAATCTGGTCTGACAGCCGTGACAAGTTGTCCACATTATTAACTTGGGTTGACATGGACTTTCGGCTGTCTCTGTTTGCTCTCGTCCTCATCCTCGTGCTGTTGTCTTGCTGTTGCCCGTAACAAGAGCAAGAAAATGCTGATTTAAACTCCTCACGGAACTTGCCTGGAAGGAAAGCAAATAATATTAAATGCTTTGAATAATGGACATTTCATGTTTGTTTACTGAAGAGGGATCATGCACAAGAAAAACATTTTGCTCAAAGAGCCAAGACGAACTGCGTTACTCGGTTTCTTTCCAGCTAATTGTCATCTGCTGTCCCCATGTCTGATGCAGAAAGGATCAGTAGTGACAAAACATTAATAAGAGAAAGATAAAATGTTGAAAAACCACATTAAATGGAAGATTCAAATTGTATTATTTAATCTGAAATTCAAAATCTAAAATCCTAAAAGTCTAATCTCGTTTGTTTTATACTGAACCACAATTCTTTAAAATGCAGGTTGAAGTGTATAAAAGCATTTTCTTTAGAAATGTTTCAGAAATAACAGATAAAAGTCCAATCCATATGTGAACAAGTGAACTTAAACCCATGAAGAAATATATAAACTGTACAGGTTGGATTATCAACACACTGTAGATTGGAGCTCCAAGGATTTGGGTAAGTGTTAATATAAAACTGTCCACTAGGGGGCAGTAATAAACCTGCTCTTTTGTGACATAAACGTTAGAGACAAAGGAGATTGAAAAACTTACCACTCAAAAAATTATAGATGATAGGATTTGCTGCACTGTTTGCGTATATTAGCCAGTGTGAAAAAGTGAACCATGCATATATTGTTTCTCGGTCGTTTGTATTCTTAAAGGTGCCAAAAACCCTGGAGGTGCAAAAGGAAAGATGAAAATAGGCATGAAGTTTGTTTTGTCATACACTGTTTTGTCAAAATAAGCCACAATTTCATGCATTTAAAAAAATCTACAGCAGGCATAAAGATGAGAAAGGAAACGATTTTGATGCATATGTCCCCAATCCTTTAGTTCACAGTGCATTTTCATTGGCTGCTGATGCTGTAAACGGAGGAGCTGAAGAGATTATTACCGTTTCAGGATATTGAGCACACTGATCGGTAAGTAGCAGAGAGCAAACACAAAGAGCACAACCATCAGCATGCGAGCTGTTTTGCGTCTGGCTCTGATTTGTTTGATCTCAGCGGAAACTGTGCTCGTCTTCACCCCTCCAGACTCTCCCGATCCTGAACTTGGACCTGAGCACTGGATAGTCCTCCAATTCCTCTGAATCACCGATGTGTTTCCAGGAATCTAGTTAGTGAATATATGCATATATCAGAGCCTTTCAACAATTACCAAAAACATATAATAATACTGTATACTCTTTTTGACTTCATGGGACGAGGAAGCACATAATTTTAGGTTTAGTGAGGCAACTAATGGAGTAGTTATTGGCTTTCCTGTGTCATGATGAAAGTGGCTAACTTCTTACCCTGGTTAATATCTATTATAATATTTGCTCAATAAAATAGAACATAATGCTATAATGCCTTGAAGACTGTTTCCTGTTTTGCATGTGGAGTTGAGATGTAATCTAGATCATCTGGTTTTCCCTGATGAGAGCATTTATCATGTAAATCTTCTCACTCAGCTTAGATGAAGGAGCTGATTAAGGCTACTGAAGACTTTAAAGTTAAAAGTTAAAGTCAAAATCTACTAAGACTAAAAATGCAAATAAAAAAAAAATAAAAAAAATCTTGCTGTCTTTACAAAATGCTATAACCTCACTAGTTTATTTTTTATTTATCTAACACAACATGTACTAACTGGATATTTTATTAGGCAAAACTGTACTCATTACATGTAGGTATCTATGCAGGGAAGGCATTGAACTGAAATGAAAAAAATGACCCTCAGATTGAATCAAAGGGTATTTAGGTTGCTGTGAATGTGACTCTTTGACTATTTAACTGCTTTTCCCTGGGTTATAGAGAATGGTTCGACAGATTGCAATTGTCAACTGGGAGTAGTTTGGAGGACAATGCCTTGGGTTAAAGCGAAAGATCCTTTGTCTGCCCGAGTCACAGAAAGTAGAGAGATGAGATGCTCAGTTTAGTTGTTAGAATGCAGGTGAGTTTCCCCAATAACCAGCTAAATAGATCCTCTACGAGACCTGCGGTGAGTAGGTCTCTGCAGGCTTAGGGACCTCTAGACCCCTGGGGTTGAGAGCAGGTTAGGTGTTTACTTTTCAGAATAAAACTTAGTTGGGAGGGCATCGTACTTTAGAGAGTGAAGGAAATTAAAAGGAAGGGGTTCAACACATCATATAATGAAACCCTACAACAGTGAGACTTACATGATCTTTACAAGGTTGTGTAGAGATACACATATATAGGAAGATCATTACATTTCAGAGAGAGTAGTTGAGCTCTACACCAGCTCCCAAAATAGACAGTAAAAAAACAAACTCAATTGAAACACGATAAACAATTGAAATAAAATAGAGAATTAGTCAATATAGCACAATATTGAATACAACATATAAATACATTGACTTTGTGGTTATCTCAGGGCCTTAATGTTGAACGCAGCTAGTAAAAACTTGCTTAGATATACTGTATACTATACACAAACACATTATCTATACTGAAATTAAATTATCAACCTAAACCTTTAATTTTTATTCATTTTTAAGCTGCACAACATAATGTATTTTAGAGAATCACTGAATAATGATGATGTTGAGCAACCTAACAGCTGCCTCAACAACAGAAAGCAAAGATTTTGAAATTGTTCATCACAATTATTAGAAATAGACTTTTTTTTTTTAAGTTTGAGATACACACCTGTTGGCACCACAGCTTGTGAAAAATCTGAATATAAGCCAGGACCATGAGACATAATGGAGCAAAATATGTGACAATGAAGAAGCCAGTGTGGTAGACTTTTGGGTAGACCTCAGCTGTAAAAAGAAAAGAAAAAAAGAGACAAAATTATAAAAATAAGAATAATCAGATTTAAAAAAAAAAGAAAGATCAGGTATAATGGGTTGCTGAAAACATTTTTAAAAAAAGTCATTTCGACTGCAGATGTGGGAGCACTGCGGTGTAGCCTATACATTAATCACTGCATTAAAAATAATTTGCAACTTATCTTAAAAGAACCACAAAATTAATTACTCATTGTGAAATGACACTGTTTCTGTTTATCCATCAGTAAGTTCTTACTCCTCATTAGAAAAATGAAACAAAAAAGGTTTCTGACATATGAAAGGAATCATTTTCTGCAGTCACTTTAACAAGGAATTGGTTTAAAAAGCTTTTCTTTCTTTGAAGGCAGTAATTACAGAAGCAGTCTGAAGGGATTACCATAAAACCATTTCAAGCCACTCGCTGTTCTGCTTTCCAACTCTGCACACAGCGATCACAGCATCATAACACTTTAGTGAACTCACCGTCTCCTGCTCCGTTGTACTAGGTCCAATTTCATAAAACAACAAATCAAAATACACTTGATTTTTATTTTTTGATTCACAGATGTCACATTTAATCTGCTGCTTCATGGAGAGAATAAGATGTACCGATTTTTTTATTTATTTATTTTTTTTATTTTACATGATTTCAGAATATCTTTAAGGAAATAAAACAACAACTAACCTCCCCAGTGTTCATCACAGACTGTGAACAGGCTGGTTTTGTTTGTAAGTTCAGGCAGCAGGCTGCTGCACTCCATCACAATGGCCTGTGGTATCATGATGATGCACGACACCACCCAGATGGCAATGATACTTTTGCGAGCTCTCTTGGCCGTGCTCTTGAACTTAAGCGGGTGACAGATAGCGTACCAGCGGTCTTGAGCAATACAGCTCAGTGTCAAAACAGACACCGAAACAGAGATGGTCTGTGGAAAAACAAAGTAAAGCAGAAAGAAGCAAAATGACATTGTGATTTTTTTGTTGTTGTTTTTCCTGTGCTTAAAATGTAAAGAAGATTAATTAAATCTCCCATTTGCTTGGAGTCAGAAAACTTGATTTTGATAACACACACATGTAACCTTTATTGGCATGTTTGCAGTAAAGAACTAAAGTTATGCTGTATGACTGATTGTGGTATGTACATGTTTTTTTAGGTGTGCCACCTTAAAAGTTTTACTGGTCTGGTATGACCATCAATATGAATATTTTCTAGGGGTACCACTGATGACTAGAATTAATATTTCCACCTTGGATCCATGCCCTTCCTGCCCAAAACGTCCATTGCTTTATGGTTAAAAAAACAATGGAGGTAGCCTCATTTCAGATTTATTTCAAATAATTCCAAATAACAAACACAAAGTAGCTCTTCTGTGTTCTAATTCCTTCTTCTACATTAAACATTAATTCAGGATGAAATGAAACTCTTAAGATGCATGTTTATTTTTTGACAAAAAGAGGAACTTTCACTTTTAAGAGTCATTTCCATGGCTGTGCTTACATTGTTTGCTTCTTAAAGCTGCCGCATATAACGTTCAAAATATGTCCATTTCATTTCAATATGTCATGACAGTATGGTATGAGACAATCTGTGAAAAAAAATAACTCCTCTAAAATTGAATTCCAGTAATCAAGCTTCCCTGCATAAATAGTTGTCAATCATCTGTTTCTGCCTCCAGTCATTTATGCTATTTTTTATTTATTTTTTAGTTCATTTACAATTTAAAATAAGTTAACATTATGCACTTCCAGTCCTCATCTCTACTTTTGGAACCGCAATCTAAACATAACATATGGTTTTCTTCATATGCAGATATGGCTTACTATACCTATGTGACTCTTAGAATGCACATAGGTAGAATAATTTTGAAAGGTTTGAAACGTTACACCTGAGTAGTTCTAAGTTTGCTTTATGATACTTAAATTAGTCTGGCAGTGAGCAAAGAGGACACCCAGCTCTCACCATGACTAAACCCCTGTGGGAGAATGCCAATCTGCAAAACTGGACAGATGCAGAGCTTGTTGTTGCACTAGAACTAATTGAGTTTGAAGGTGCACTTCTTCAATTTGCAGTGAACTTTAGTCAGTAATAATTCATACAGGTCTGCAGGTTCAAAATCTGTGATCATTTCCTGTGGGAAATAAATGTTCAGTTCAGTTCTTTAGCTCAAGCATCAGATTGGCAGATGCATACAGATGTGCACCTTTTCTGGCCACATTTAAAGATTCAAATAAAATATTTAACAAGCACAGAAAAGAACACCAGAAAGGACAAAAAAAAAAACATGTCTCTGTGAAACCCCACCATCATTTCAGAAATGATGATGCCATTCTAAGTTATTGTTGTGTTCCTTTAAGCCTAACCTTATCTGGATGCACATGTCAAATATTGGTCTGACATTCCACAAATGAGCTTGATGGTGTATTTGATCTGAATCAATGCACCAATTTTATGTCAGAAAATTGAATATTTTCAAACTAAATTCCAACCATGCAAGTTAAAGGTCAGCAAGTCATCAAAAGTTTGATAATCCATCTGATTGGTGTGAATAAAACATGATCCATATATAAACTCCATTTTTTCCAAATATTAATTTAGAGTGTGAACAAACAAAATGAAAAATAATTGTGTTATCATAGTGTTGTGTTTGGATGTGAAGAAGAGCCGTTCGCAGACTCGAGGCAGGGAGGATCAGCATGAAGTGCAAAAGGTAATGAAAGGTTGGTTGACCTAATAACTTCTGAAATCAAACCAATAGTATAAAATCTGAGAATGGTTCCTGTTGAGACAAACAACAGGAGAATCTAAATGCATTAATATATATGCATTTGCATGTATTACTGAAAACTGCTATATACTGTGCAATGTAATGTTTGAATAAAACAATTGTCACTAACAATAATATAAACAAACAATCTTACTAAACATGAACTAACTTAAAGGTAACTGAAGTATATTTTTATACCAGCAAGCAGGTCAAATACTGGCTGTAACCGTGACGCACATGTACAGTTTTTACTGTGGTTAAAAAAAAAGAATAAATTTCAGCAGCTCTTTGAACTGCTCACAGAAAATGTCTTTGATTTCCAAGTCCCACAGTTCAGCCTCCAGAACGGCTGTTCTCATTGAGTTCAACTGTTGTTAAAAAGTAGGAAAATTGCATTTTGAAAACATTCAGCAATATTTACCCTTTTACTAGGACTTCACTTGTTTTTCAATTTTCAAAGCAGAAAACAGAAGACAATTTATTTTAGTTTTGATTGCTTCAGGGGTTTTACATTAAAAAAAAAAAAAAAAAAAAAACTTGGTCAGGGGAATGCAGCCAAAGAGGCAGCACAGCATGAGAAACATATGAAAATGTCACATAAATTTTATTACCAAATTAAGCCCTTTTAGGTCTCCCAAAGCAGCCGGAGGAAAAAAAAAAGATAGCTTCAATAACAATGAAGACCATTAAAATACTCCAAATCCACTAAGAAATACTATGAACATTTGAGCTAATTTCCAGCTAAGTAAAATTGCCTGGCAGGGTATGTAAAACTTTACATTGACATTCTTCAGTATAGTTTCAAGGGATTGTTGGATTTTAATTCAGTTTAAAGAACAATCACCTAATGATTTCTTACCTGGAGATAGGGGACAATTTTGCAAAGAGTTTCACCAAAAAACCAAGTCTCTGTGATGTCAACCACAAGACTCGCAGGCAGACAAATGATGGTGACCAGCACATCAGCCAGGGAGAGGTTTACTATGAAGTAGTTGGTCACTGTGCGCATGTGACGATTTTTCCACACTGCAAAACAAACTGAAAGAAATGAACCATCAAAGATGACTTAAGATCTGAAAACAGACTAAATACTCTATTTATCAGAGGGATGTATGACACACCACAAACAAGTCTAGAAGGCATGCTATTAGGCAAAGAGTTCAAATTAAAATTTAATTGCATTTCTGCTGTGATAGATGCAAAATATTCATCAGTAAAAAGTTATGAAGCACCATGGAACATGTGAAGCTTCATAAAGAGAACTTCCCTTTGGGGCTTGTAAATGATTAAAAAAAAGTATATGAAATACGTCAATATTTCAAATATATACCAATTTTTTTAATGATGTTGATTTATTTTGATTTATCTTAAATCTAAAACTATTGGAGTAAAGTTTGCCAGTCGTTTTTTTTTTCTATTTTTCTAGACACTAGAAATGGAAACCATTGATGTTTACTCTGTTTTTGCTTTGCTGCACCATACAATGTAATTCCATGTAACGTACGGGAGATGAAACATGTCTGTGGAGAATCTGTGTCTTAATGGGAAGACACAGATGAGCTGTGGAGAGAGCAGTGAAGAAACCCAAAGCAGGAGGAACTATCAGACAGAAAGCGTCAATGCTGGGATTCATACCAATCAATGAGTGTTGGACGTTAGCTGTAAACTAGACTTCATAAGTTAGCAAGGATGACTTTTTAATGACGTGTATGTCCTCACACCAATCAGATGGATTTGGCATAGGTCCTCTGCCTCCAGCTGAGACTAGCTGCCTCCAGCAGATAACAGCAACAAAGTTGGTCTAATTCTTGAACTTATTACTGGCTTGTAAAATATCTTATGTCCAAATGTAATAGTAGAAGCCAAAGTTCTGCTGATATTCACAAAAACACCCAAGGCTGCCTGCCAGCAACAACTTCATGAGCATCATTATTATTATAAAGTTGTGTAATTAATTAATATCAATTCATCAATCTTTATAAAGATATAATTTAAAATATATATATTTAATCATTAAACACCCTGTCTTGATGGTAGGCCCATAGCTTACAAGTATAAGACAATATTTTCTGTCATTTGGTATTTCTTTAGGTGGGAGGTGATTGGTTGACTTGGATATGGTGTGAAAAAACATCTGAGATTTTTTTTTACCAATTTACCCAGCCCTATTTCATGGCCACATGTCCACTTCTCATCCTATTTCACCCTTTTACTTCCAATTTCTAATTGCTTTAGAGAAGCTGATCTACCAAAGTGATACTTTGAGAAATGACAGAAATCTCTGACAGATTGAGCTAAAGGTTTAATCTATATTGCAAATTATTGGCTGCCAGGGCCAAAAAGAAATATGTGAAATATGTGGATTGTGTTTGACAATGTGTGACAGCAAGGAAAGAGAAACAGAAGATGGGAGCTGGACACGTTACGGATGGAAAACTGCTTTGCAATTCAGCTATTCTACAGTATTTTCCATTAACATTTACAATAATTCTGTTTTTAGTTTTGCTCCAAGGTAAGTCTTATGGACAGAATGGATTTGGCCATGTACTCAGAGAAATTCACCGCAGTTTTACACAAGTATGCATTTAATTAAATCTATAAACCTGCACATTTGAACCCTTATGTGCACTTCAACTGAATCCACAATTCAGAGGGGCGTAGAGTGCGCACTGAGCATCGGGACCTACGTTCTGGGTGCTTGTTTGCCAAAGAACTAGCAGACAAGGACCACCAAGAAATTGCTGAAAATGTAATGAAGACCTAGGCAGAAATTCAACCTGTAAGACTGTTCTGGCATCACCTATCACCACGCCTTCACCCCAGCCAATAAGGACGCACCACCTCTCTACCTCGATCCAATCACCTGGCTAGAGCTCCTTCAAAAGAGGAAGTGACCACAGAACTACCCGCTTCAGTTGTGCTTCAACCCACCTCCTCTCCCTTTCCACCACCAGCCTCCCAGACACCTCCAGGTCCCCTGAAGACTCCTCTCTCCAAGCTCCGCTCCAACACCAGTGACTGGGCCCGGGGAAAGACCTACCTGAGCTTCGTTCGAGCCGATCATTCAAGCTCGCCGCGATTCTCAGCTCGCACGTCTTCCGCCGGTGTCCGAGCGCCAAATTCTCGGTCCAATAAAATTGTCTAACTGCTGTTTCTCTCACTGTGTGAGTCTCTACAGATTGAATTGTATTCAAAATTTTCAGTTCAGTTATTTTCCACTTGCACTTCTTCAATTCACACAGGAATAGGAATAGCATACAACAAACATATTTGTTGCATGCTTGACAGCATAGATCAATATTTACTCGATGATATAGATCAATATTTACTTTTTGTGTAGCTGTAATTGGACTGTTAAGTTATTTTTTTTTTTTGCTATGCATCAATTTAAAAATAATGAGGTTCCTAATCATAAAATACAACAGAAAGAAAATTTATCTGTTTTATCATTACTTTCAATCTAATGAAAAATAAATAAATAAATTTAAAATAAGCTAGTTTTAAAACTTATCATGTCTTGATTCAAATACCCTAATTGTGGTTTTGAAATTAGTTCTGTATTCTGGCCTATTGACCTTTATGTTACCTGTAGTTACAGCAGATGGTTTGCTAGGATCATTTGAACTGCCTTTTGTCTGTGTGGGAAAACAATACAGTGGAAGTTGTAGCTTTTCACACTCATCTGTGAAAGGCCATAAACACGGCAGGGGTTTCTGGCTTGAGAGAGGCTCAGAGATAGCTCCTGGTTGGATGAGCAAAGATACGCCTTATTTGAATAAATTAAATACAAGAGGATAAAACTTTCTACACAGAAGTAACACATTAGATTTGCTCTTGCAACTCTCCAAAGATGTCTTTGCACGTCTTTGCTTTTCTTTCTTTCCTTCTTTTTCCAAGTCTGTCAGGTAAATGAATGTATGTCTCCGTTGTTCTGCAGTTTCTGTTGTAATTTTATGCATTGTCTTATATTGGATTAAACTCTGTAATTCTGTGACGTCAAGTTGTTTTCCTTGTGGCTACATGTGGCCGCCGAGAGGACCTGGGATCCAGAGGAAGAGAGAGCCAAACTTTTTCCAAAGTTAACTGATTTAGATATTCTTCCTTAACATTATGTTGGTCTAATTGATCAGCACATTGATTACAAAGAACAAAACCACAGAGTCAATCTCAAGCGTGCCAAATAAGCAGTTGCGCAAAACTACAAAAACAAACTTCCTGATAACCTTTTCCAGATTGGCCACAATGCCACGTTCAAACAAACATACTGTAGTTTTCCGTAAGGTTTTAAATCATTGGTCACACTTGGCAATATTTGCATATTGTGAATACTTTCAGACCGGGGCCCAGCTAACAACTTTGTGATAACACTCAAATGCAAACTGTGCAGTCCAATTTTGTTGTTCCTGCTGAGACTTTTATATTGGCATTTCTACCTAACCCCCTTAACTAAAATGTACAGACACAATCCAAAATCCAATATTGTGCTAAATAAATAGACAGCATTTAACACAAAATTAAATGGAGGTCAGGGTACTTAGTGGAGGGTTCAGACTGCAATCTGTAGGAAAAAGACAGGTCGGGGTTCAGATAGCAGATATGCATGCAATTATTCAGAAGAGGGCATGGATCATGTCAAACCAAGAATCACAAGAGCAGGGAAAGTACGTTGAATTTCTACTGGCAAATGTGGTCGATAATCTGTCAGGGAGCAGAGACTGAACAAGGCTAAAACAGTGCAAGGCACAGGTGAAACCGAAAGAGACAATTAGACACGGCGCAGGCGGGTTGAATCTCACTGATTAGGAGTGAGAGACTTGCCATGAAAAATATGATGACTCGAAAACATGAAAGAAGTACAGGCATGGCAGAACAGTGAATCATCACAGTTTAACAAAGATGAATGAGCACATCATTTCTGTTTCTAGATGTTCAAAGCTTGTTGTGAGGCTGGCTGTAAAATTTGGTTCTACAAAGTACCCTTGTTTTATGCAGATGTGTACAACACTTTTTAGTTATTTATTTAACAAAAAAGATGAAACCATGACTAACTTTCATTTCATATAACAATTATACAGTATTTAATGTTGTTCGATCACATAAAATCTCAGAGTACTGTGTAACCACAAACTTTAATGTAACACAATGTGGGAAAGTTCAAGCAATGATAATACCTGCAAGGCACCGGTATAAACCTTGTTGATAAATTGTGAAGTGATCAGCTAGTTACTAAATTGTTTAAATACCGGAAACCTTTATCAGTCTAGTTACAAATATACAGTCCGAGGTTTGCTAAAAAAGCGTTGAAGAATCTGTTGCCTGATCATGGAAAGTCTAAGCAGTTTGAAACATTGAAGTAATTTACCAGTGTTCAAACTCTCAAGAGCTACTGTGTTACAGAGCTTTAAGTTAGTCAAATAATTCTCGGTTAACCACTTTAAAGAATATCCAACCAACAGAATAGTGATGAGATACGGACATCAGTTAAACATTTTTATGAGTATATCATGTGCCACTGAAGTGTATGTCGTTGTTTTGCAGATATTGAATGTGTAAGGGTTACAGAAACTTGTGTGCCTCTCACTTCCTCTGTCATGAATGAAGCTGTTGGGATCAATGTTGCAAATCATTACCAGATCAATAAAGTCATGAACTGTCCCAGATCTTGTCTGAAAAGAAATCAAAAGCTTGGGCTACAAAAGAGGTCACTCAAGCTGTGAAGCCACAAAAGGATAAAATGATTTTTAAGAATCCATTGAGGCTCTTCAACAAAAGAAAAGTGTCCCAAATAAATCCGAATTCATATAGAAGCTGCACATTCTTGTAAACTTCTATAGCTGCAACCTAATTTTAAAGTGATTTACAAAGTCAGAGAGGGTAAAGAAAACACCCGATTGATTTAAATAAAATGATGCGATTCATCATAAAGAATTTCACCTGCCAATGAACATTTCAAATGTGCAAAGAAAGACTTTACTTTTTATAGGTTACACAATTAAAGCAAAATTAGTTATTCCTAGGGTTTTAAATTGTACTATCAT